CAACTTTCATTGGCTTATATACCATGAGACGAAACATATTCGCATTGGTTGAAAAGTTAAAGACCATTTCATACTTAAGAATATCATAGCGTTATGATTGCCATGGGAGCCGACTTAAACAGAAAAAATTCACCCAAGGCAGGGTCTAGTTAAAACAAATGACCGAAAAATTGCGCGGGAAAATCGCGTGGAATGATTTCCGGTCCATCATTGAATTCTTTCAGTAGTTCTCAACTTGGTGTTTTGTTTCGTTTGGATAAAAGTAATAAGGAAGTAGATCCTCAGTCACTATTCATCAKAAAACAAGCTGCGTTTAATGCTTGATAAAAGTATGTCTCATTCGCCTGTCACCGTCGGCTAGTGAGTGGGTGGGATGCTCGAGGATTCTGTTGAAACCATGTGACGAAATAGCTCCGTATGTAACGTCGATGTGAATCATAACACTGTTAAAACAATTTGTTGTACTCATGTTCAACGAGGAGTTTCACGTCAAACTACCCTCAGGACAACTTCCATAGTTATTATGATCAAGGTAGGTACTTTTGAAATGACTTAATGTTTTGTATTTGAAGGTTATTTGCGGTTGAAAGTTTCCCGCGTCTACAGTCAGTTACTACTACTGGGTCGTCAGTGAAGCGAGATTTGTAAACACAGCAGATTGGACCGTCAAAATTGTACATTGAATTCTTCTAGCAGTTTCTTTTTATCGCCAGAAAAGCAGTTCGAGTGTACTATTTGATGTGAGTCTAGTGAATTGATTTTCTCAGTCGAAAACGTCAAGATAATGTTCGAATTCTGACGAAATGTATTTCGTGAAGAGTTTATGAATGAATTCGTAAGCTGCGGYAATTTGAATCGCTAATTTATCCAATTTTATTCACTTTCTCATTATTTTTAAGGCTAATAAGTTAAAAGAATCATTCGCGATGATTGTTGCATGAACAAATGCGTGTTTTGATGAAATTTGGGCTCATGAAATTTCTCAGTGAATTTTATTAAAACCATTGAGAGAAGTTTAACGTGTAGTTTATTTATTTTGTGAATATGTAATTCGGCTCACATGACTTAAGTGCACGTGGGACACCGGTGTATCTTACACAGAGAAACATTTTTGKCAATATTTTATGGAAGATATGACAAAAATGAAACGAATTCATGAGTTGAAGCTATGAACAGGAATTACTCGACGTTTTTTCTMGCCACACAATCACCCGACCGTGCTGTCTCGTTTCTCAGGTTGTCATGGAATACTGTGGTCAAACAGTCGGCATCTGAAGAGTTCAAAATTAGTTTCTTTATTTATATCGTGACCAAAAGAGAGGATGTTGTCTATATTTACGGTTAGAATTCACCGCCTTATTGACTAAATTTGTAAAATAACAATAGTGATGTAAAGAACCGAAGAACGATGTCTTTAAAATCACGCAGTCTACGCAGTCGCCAAGTTAGAGATGTTTCTATGGTGAGGTTTTACCGAAAAATTGACCTAGAACAGAAACTAGAAAATTTATCGAAAAAAGGGCTAAATTTAATGTGGAATTTGATGTTTTATTGTTGTCATAAAATTCAAATTTACGTTCATCGTATTTCACTGTCTGTCTACTTGTCTGCGAACACTTGTTACAAACCTGTACCAAAACAAGTTATTAAACCGGTTACTGTAGGTTTTTGCCCTTAAACTAGCTTTTTATCATAAAAGCTTTCCTCAGTGGAGGTTTATGAATGTAAGGAAGTTTTCTGAGTATAATTCGATTCGAGTGATTTTTTTTTGTAATCTTAACGATGATGTTCCTTTTGTTAGCCTGGTGATCTCAAAACATCCTAGTAATGCGAAAAATGCATACAAATCCTACATTACTGTGTCGGCCCGCCCCAAACTTTGTCGGCTTGCTCTTTCGTTGTGTTTGATGTCCACTTATCAATGGCTTTCAAGATCTTTCTAAATGAGCTGCCAACGATGTGAGAAATGTTCATTCGAATTAATCTACCGAGACCACTACACAGATCGCCGAGACAGGATTCGTTCGATTTTAACAGTTTTGAAAAAAACACCTTATTTAGGATTTGGATTGACCCTTGCGGGATACCAATGAGATGACCAAAAGGTGGAAGAATTATCTCTAAAATTGAAATGCAATTTCAGTTATTTTGGCGTACAGAAATTGATATGGATACTATGACAAGAACTAAACCTCTTTAGATACTTTTTTCTTCAGCTCCAGTACCATTTTAAAGACATTTTGTTTCGTTTTTCGGTTTTTCTTTTTCGTTTTTTTATTCGATCTTCAGATAGATTTGGAGTAGAGTTCGACGTGGGTGTTGATGTTAACAATTTGACAAGCCGGTGAAGCTCAGATAATTAAACAAGAAAGAACTGCCTAGTCTTAAGCTCGAAATGCCAGGGAAGGCCACATTGTTTAATAAAYTAAGATAATGAGCCTTCACAAAAGAATGGGGGAGTTTTTTACGGACATAAAAGATCACTTATTCAATTAAATTGTTGCCTTGGGAAATAAAACGCCTTTTTTATCCAATTTTATATCATTTGACTTCGTAAAAGCAATTGTATGCAAGGAATTATCGCAATCAACAAAGCAAAACAAAGAAATGACAAATTTTACTATTTTTGAACTCAGAAAACAAAAAAGAAAAGAGAAAAAGAAAAAAAGGTTACAAAAAGAAGGATATTTAGTTATAATTGTGTTTTAATGAATTCGACCGTAGAATAGAAAASCTAACAATAACAAAATTGCGAGCTGCTTTTTTTAAGGAATTAGTAATGGTAGTTACGTCGACGCCAGGTGTCTTGTGCTTTCTTCCTCATGTGATTCTGGTGGCAGACCGTTTACCGGTGCCAGTTTTCATGCCATTTCCTTGCTAAAAGAACAATGGCGTCACGTTAAATCCACCTCGACGGCTAGTTCCTTTGTACATATATGGTACAATTACAAAACCAAAGTGTAGATAGTGTTTGTTATCAATTGAATCTTCTGGAATATTATAATGACAGATGTGGGACATCTTATGTCCATGTCATTTTTATGCCAGGSGCATGCGTGTATCATGTTTTATGTCTTTGATACCTTTGAACGGTTTCTTTCACACCTACCTGTGCAACACGAGTATAATATAAGTCACATGGTCGTAGTAAATGGCTTTAGGATTGCAACCTGCCCCACATGGGCTGGCGATGACCGCAGGGGATAGACATGATGAGAATGCATTGGCCAGTGCGGTCAAACCCATTTTTCTGTAGACTTATCCTTATCCAGTACAACGAAAAACGTTTTATCAAGTGGATTTTAACCTGAGGAACACTCACTATAGTTTACTACAGATGGATGAAAATTTCGACATTACACGCAACGAAATCTAATTTGGATAAGTGAAAAGAAATCCGGCGCACCATTTGCGCACTTGACGCTACCGAAAATTTGTCATGTTGGACAACGTTTGTTTTTTAATACATCCGAAACGCAACCATATACACTCAGATCTCAGATCTACTAATCCTTAGCAARGAAGAAGTTGYAAGAGCGTGTTCACCTGGAAACAGGTCTTTGTTAAATGTRGGCGTCTTATTATTGTTAAAACCAATTTGCAAAATTAATAGAGCAATACGCAAATTAAAGTTCGAAATCAAAGACGAACTTTATATAATTTTTCACGATGGTGCAACTTTATCCATGTTTGTTCTTTCAGATTTTTTGTTCTTAGTTTTATGCTTGTGATATGCTTGGAAGGATCATAGCTACAATTGTAGTTAGTTTCATTTCGTGACGCGTTTCGTGACACACGTTTCAAGTGTCCAATCTCATATTCATCCCTCTCAATTCAAATTTCTTTAATCTTTTGATTATGGTCATTATCATCGGTCAATCAACCTATTGTAACGGGTTTTCTTCATCTGCTGTGATCAGGCTTATGTATTGTGGATTTGGTTAGCTATTGCCTTCCCCTCTTCCCTCACAAAACAAAAGGAAAAATGTAGTGACTTGCTAATTGTTCAGTTGCGGCTGAAAAAATCGCGATCGTGTGGATAAAATCTATTGTTGAAATCAAAGTTAACCTCTACTGCTATGTTACAATAACGGTCGTCTATCACCTGGGAACACTTTRTCAACTTTGAAAGAGTTTCTATAGACCCCTTACATGTGAAGACAAAGCACTTCCATTTTTTAAACAGAGCAAAAGACTTTGTCTGTCTTGGGAGCAGCAAGAGTCTATTGTGGTGTTCCCATATGGTATCCATGAAATGTAAGTTGTCTAGCTCTRTGATTCCGATCGTCTGGACGAATTTGCTTGAATTCACAAGACGATTGTTGGGCGTTGCTAACAAAGCCTGGTGGCTCTATGTTCTCAATATATTGTGCAAAAACCATATTATATGTCCAGGGTTTGTCTTTGCTTGTATTACCTACGTACCAGATTTCCGCTATAACGTCATTGCAATCTATTGTTTTAAACACAAAAGAATCGTTGAGAAGCATGGGCGCTAATGTCGCCAAAATAAAAAGAAATCTTCACGCAAGGCATCGACATGATCGATGGTCAGATTTCGTTTTGGTAGGTTAAGGGCAGCCCCACTTCCCCCCTTATATTCGCCCTTTTATCTAAGGCAACCATTCTATTTATGAGATTTCTCAATCTGACTGTCTGTCTGTCCTCGTGAGGTATATCCTAGCCGTGGATACATGAATCTCTAAGATATGACCACTGGCCCATGTCTAATGCGATGTAAAAATAGCAATCTCAAGGGTCTATGACGTATTTATAGCCATGCGGTGATATTGTGATCTGTTTGCACGCCGTTGATAAATATAAAAAACATAAAGAATGCTAAGAATGTTAATACAAGTTGTTCAAAGCTTGAATTTAACGTTGTTCACGTGGGTTGTAAGCCATTCTTTGAATTCGGCTGATATAAAAGTACAGGGTTTCATCCAATTAATTTCGGCATGATTATTTGTTAGTAATTTGATATTATGCAAGACTTTCTGATGTGTATCCTGCACTAATGAACTGAGCTTTTGGGTGTATGCATGCATTTAATCGACGTTAGGGCCTTAGCCAAGGGGGTACCACCCCATACTGAAAAATGTCCGTTTAGAAGAAAAACAGGATTAAAACAACTTTGACAAGCGACAATCTGTTTTGATCTTAATTTTGGTTTTCTAGGAACAGCAATAAAAAAAACCGCCTACCGAACCTCAGCGCTTTTCGTAAGTGTATGCTATAGTTCCCGAAACTTTTGATTTCCGTTTTCTCCCATCATCCTTTGCAAATACGTGTTTTTCCGTTAGATCTTTACTTTCGCATTTTCGGGGTTTTGTACTGTTTTCCATTACCTTGAAAACGGAGAAGAAAGCCCAAATAACACTACAGTTATGGATGCAGGCATGTTATTCTTACAACCTTTATCAACAMAGGTTTAACGAACAGTTATCTAAAATGATCAAACTGCGCAAAATTTTGAATTACTCTGTAATGTATATTGTTTTTCATTTGTTATAAATTGTGATTAAGATTGTACTCCTATCAAATCATCGACTTTCTATGTATCGTACAGGTTGGTTTTCATTACATTACGAAGAGCTTCAATGTTTTTTCAATGACACGAAGAAGACATGAAGAATGTTATGACGAAGTGGACGTCTGAGCTCCTTGTTTCACTTGGTTTGGTTTTACGCTTATTTTGACATGACATTAATTCCAAAAATACATGTGTTTAGGTACTTCTCGACTGCTTGACGGTATACTAGGATGTTTTTACCTGCCTGTGCATATTATTATTTGTAACGGAATTATTAGAGACGTGAAACAAAGCTTTTTTCGTATCTCTTAAGTGCGCTAGTGACGTCATGTTTCGTTGATTACAAGGGTAATTACAGTTTTTGCTAAATTCACATGTGCGCGTCCAGTTGAAAAATACCTTCTTACAGTGAACTTCCATAGCTGCTAGAAGCAAAGATTTTTTAATGGTAAGGAAGGCTTTGAGTATTATTTATTGCTTGAGTGATTTTGATGAATGCTCTTATGCTCGCACAAACACCCGTTTTCCGCCAAGATGGTTATCGATCATATTGCCACAACAACATTTACGAAAAACTAAAAGCCATTGATCTCACTTCATTTTCCTGCTATCTGCTTTATTTTCGTATAATTTCTTTCTATAGCTTTATAGTCGAATGATACGTTTGTGCGGCTCGGATTGAATTTCAGAAAGAATTTCAGTTGATGCCATGTGATATATATAGCCTGATATATAGGAGATTTTGGAGGCCAAGTTTTGGTCGATGCGAACATGTGGTCGATCTAAACAGGTAGCTTATATATTGAGGTGCTTSCTGAATGGCAAAATGTCGATCGTTATATAGATTTAATCGTTGYGCTYAAGTGGTCGTAATGAGGTRGTYACTTTGTAGAATGGTCGATCTGTAGAGGTCAACATAATTCAGATACAAGGAAGTGGGCGTTCGGTATTTAAGAGAGACGTTCGTATTTTCGAGAGACATAGCAGTTATTATATGGGCGTGACACCCTGTTGTACGGAAAACTGTAAAATGATGCGAACTCAAAATCGTTTTTAGCACACATTTAAGTGATCTTTAAGTGATGTTTCAAAGCTCAATATCTATTCAATTACTTTCCAAGAGGGGGGCGAACTTGATTCAATTACCTCAGCCCACTCAAACCAATTCTACCGGAGAAAAATACGCAGTTGTAATTAGAAGATAATTCTCCTTACTTCAAGATTATTAATTAAATTTGAGGCCTTATTATCAAACATGCGTGGGCTAAAATTTCAATTTTGCATAATCGGCGGAAAGCTATGAGCTGTAATAAACAAATAGAAAAACAAGTTCGTCAGCTGAAAACAAAACGTGTATGGCAAAATATTCTTAATAACTAAAACGCATTTGAAATTATAACTAACTATTGTTTTTCCTTTTATTTGATAGAGTGTACATATATATAGCATACTATTGGTTATGGTTGTCATCCCACTATCCTTAGCGAAGCCTCTGTCATTTCAAGAAGATAAAGTAAGAACCTCTTCATTAATACAGGACAAACATATACCTACCAGCTCGGAATAACCCGCGGGATGGCGCACCGTTCGTTTATCACGGTCTATTCGATCACTGGTGGGTCCGCGGCAACCTAAATGGAATTTTTGCGACAAAAAAAAAGAAAAAAAAAAATCGATATAAAAACTGACAATGCCATACCAGTAATATACACTAGTCAATTGAAACTACGGCCCACTTGATTTAGACTAGAATTCCCCCGCCTTTCCGTTGATTGTGGGGTTAATTCCCCGGCTATAATGTGTTAATTCCCCGACCCTCCACGGGGGTTGTGGGAATTGATGCATCAACGCACTCATCCTTTGATAAATCCATCAATTCCTCATTCCTTATTCGTGCTATTTTGATGATTTCAGGTTATTAACAAGATAGTCAAATTGAACAATGTAACTAGATGGAAGACGATACGAAAAGCTGTACTGGATAGTCGATATCGCTACAGATTAGAAATATTACCCAGCGGGACAGTACGCGGTACTWCCAACTAYCAATCAATATACAGTGAGTATCTAGACTGCAATGTATTCCAAGGCGTTGCGGCCTTCAATACACGAGCGACTAGAATCTACTAGAACCAAAATCTGACAGGCTACACGAGCGATTTTTCGCTTGCGCAGACGACGCGATTTTCTCAAAATCTTGACCAGCGCACGATGTGGCTTCACAAGCGACAATGCTGTTTCGATAAAAAAAATCCTCACAAATATACTTATTTGAATCTCCATAAAAAAGTATACGTACAAAAACAGCTCAAATGCAATGCTCAGCTTTCATCGAAAATGCCGTCGCCTGCGCAAGTAAAAAATCGCTCGTGTAGCCTGTCAGATATTGGTTCTAGTAGATTTGACTAAAACTGACCAAAACGCATGCAAACGCAAGTGTATCCCAAGATGCTTTCTGGGTTTAGCTTGAAACGTTTTGGAGTGACATACTTGATTAAAATTATGTTTGGTATGATCTAACAGACATTTCTTACTCATAGCTCAGCTAGAACTACACTCAATAGGACATGGGATAATGAGGATATATGGAGTACATTCTAAACGATATCTTAGTATTAATGACAGAGGGCAATTAATAGGCCAGGTAAAGATCAATAATCTGTATTTTAGCGCTGATTGGCTAATGCGAGTACACTAGCTTTAAAGAGCCATTGGAAAAAATCGCGCGCTTTAAAGGTTGTAAATTTGATGTAAATATGATGTAAGTGTCCAAAATTCTGTAAATTTAATGGAAATCATTTACATCAAATTTACAGAATTTTGGACACYHACAYCATATTTACATCAAATTTACAACCTTTAAAGCGAGCGATTTTTTCCAGTGAGCGTGCTAATGCAAAAGCGTGCACCCGTTCTTTCCTTTCCCCATTTCTCGATAACTAATAAAAATAAACTAAAGATTAAGCATTAGTTGTTAGTTGGGCTGCCTACAGTTGACCTGACTTCATTCTATAGATTTGTCAGTAGTCATGATTTAATTTATAATTTTTTTTAAATATTTTCCTTTTTATTTACTAGAAGCAACCATCGCTAAATACAGTATTCAAGGAATTATATCTGGAGAACTATTACCAGTCATTCCAATCATACAAATTCAAAGACAAAAATCCTGACTCATGGTTAGTTGGTATTAAAAAGAATGGTAAAGCAAAAAGAGCAACTGCAACTCAAATAGGCCAAACATCAACACAGTTTGTTGAATAGAGGCTCTATAACAGTGACCTTAGAGAACAAATTACCTTAGCTTAATTGTAGTAAAAAACCATGCCCGTTTAATCATGGGGCTATTTAGATCGTGCCCAATAAGAAACTGATAAAAAGTTTATTGTACAAAAAATAGTAGCTCTCATCGCTTATAATTTATCAGTCAGAAAATAGAACTGGAGACTTCTCCATGCCAACCTTGGTAGCTTCCACAACATGRCTGCAGCCCGTACAATTCATATTCTCTACGCAGTCATTGCAAGCACAGGCTCAAGCCCAATCTTCTTGCTACGATCGAAGGGGTTGATTTGAAGGAGAAAATTTGTTTATCTCAACTACCCCAGGTGCAACGCACGCTACAAAGAAAAGTGAGAGAGGCGACTGGGTACGAGTCTGTGCTTTCTCGGGAGAGCCTACGTAGCACTCAGTTGATATAATATATTCATAAAGATATAATACAAAACACATAATACAATAGTTATGTAAAAAGATAAATTTAACACCGTAAAAAAGTATGTGGAATAACTTACTGACGTTTCGGATGTTAATCCTTCGTTGGAGGATTAACATCCGAAACGTCAGTAAGTTATTCCACATACTTTTTTACGGTGTTAAATTTATCTTTTTACATAACTGTTTCTTTAGAAACACCGACGCAGCTCATACTAGTTTACCGCTAGTTCCCAACATAATACAATAGAACGAGGAACAATGGAATACAATACATTTTATGAATACATTACATCAACTGCGCTACGTAGGTCACCCCCTCTATCAAGGTTTGAGTTGAGTAAGGGCTGATGGGTATTTGCCTTCTTTGGTCATAGATTAAWATGATATCTCTAATATATATAATTCATACGTTATTTCTTTGTTTTCATCCAAAGTTATTTAAYTAGGTTATAAAATGTTTACAATACATATTTATGTTCGATATTTAAGTAGTAGTTATTTTCGTTTATAATCATCGTCAAAATAAAGAGTCTGGGGCAGAGCCTCATAGTTTTACTCTAAGGAAGGTTTTAAAGCTTCCAGCTAGTCAGCTTCGTTCTAATATATCTTAGTTATTTGGTAGCAGGGTAACACAAGTTTTTGACAGTTTTCAATTCTTAGTATTTAAATGAAATCAAGGTTCTAAGATGGACATTTTTACTTTTTTACAACGATCGTCGTGTGTGGTCGTTGTGAGAAGTCACGTGATTATTACGACTAGTGCGTACTAGTAACGACTATGGCTCACTTTAGCAAAATGACTATGGCTCACTTTAGCAAAATGACTATGGCTCACTTTAGCAAAATGACTATGGCTCACTGTAGCAAAATGACTATGGCTCACTGTAGCAAAATGACTATGGCTCACTTTAGCAAAATGACTATGGCTCACTGTAGCAAAATGACTATGGCTCACTTTAGCAAAATGACTATGGCTCACTTTAGCAAAATTAGTGACTATGGCTCACTGTAGCAAAATGACTATGGCTCACTGTAGCAAAATCGATGATTTCAAATGAGGTTAGCATTATTTGTAAATCTGCCACCGGACTAAGTCAACATATATTTTTGTTGTATGAATCTATAGTAATAACACATATTTATAATATAAAATGTAGCGACTGTGTCGCGTTGACATTCGTTCACATCCTGCGTCCAGAACGTTAATTTATTAGACTATTTCCACTGTTAATTAGCCCTTGAAATTAAGTCTCGTTACAGAGCTTTGTTGAATTTTTGGACGCAGGTTGCTCGTTTTTGCAAAGTTTACTGAATTTTGTATATAAATCTTGAAATTATATTGATAAAAGGTTAAGTTATATTATTGAAAAAAATGCGTTTTACTTGAATCTTATTGATTCAAAACAAGCATGATTGTAAATAGGGTTGGCGAAAATATTCTGCCGTGCAAATATGAAAGCTCTAAGAAGTTATTTTTGTCCCGCACATTGAATAAAAAGTGTATATTGTGAAATAAAACTTGTYTTGTGATTATTTTACAGTGACTGGCCGTATGCGCATGTATATTGTCTATGTTCTTTCGAGGGGGAGGGGGAGGGGGGSTTATATAGATTCTAGAGAGAGATGGTATGATCCAAGGGCAGCGGAGCCAAAATTAACTTGGGAGCACAACCATAGACTTATAGTGATGACGTCACATCAACTTTTGCAAATTCATTTTGCTGTGACAAAAAACGAATTATTGAATGTTTCGATATCGTTATGTGGAGGGGCCAGCCCCCCCAAATATTTTGTGCCCCCACTCCACCGCCCCTGTGATCTACAAGTGAGCCGCTGCAGAGTAGCATATGTGTTCAATCTGCATCACATATTTACAGAAAGGCTATTGATGTTTCACTGAGATTTGACGGGGATTTCCTCACTGACACTCCGTTGAAACTGTTTTCAGTGTGCGCATGCTCAAATAAGAGATTGTTTTTAAGAGGCTCTCTTATTTGATTTTGGAGGAGGTACTAATTCCTGGGAGTTTACTCCCCTATATTTGCTATACGGGTATGCGCAGCGCTATAGGGTGAGGTTCTCGGCTTTTTAGTCTGGGGTATCCTTTTTTGACATTTGTCTGGTTTTTGTCTGGATATGGTTACAGTTTGTTCGTTTTAGTCGGAGTAGAGGTAGGTTTTGGCCAGTTTTAGTCTCTAATAAGCTGCGCTTTTGGTCGACACAAAAACAACGTAAATTCCGTTATAGAAGCAAGCAAAATAGGGCTCAAAAATTATTTTGTTTGGTTTCCCCTCCCCTCCCTCCACGGGCACTTACGGGCTGTAGTTCGTAAGTGACACGAATTATTTTAGTTTTTATTGAAACAAACTATATATGAAGAGATGAANTGGGATTCGAACCCATGACCATAAAATCGAAAAAAGGTTGGGACGATTCCCCCGAGACATTCTGTGAAGCTGAGGCGGCGAATCGATTTACATTCCGGTTAGAGATTTCGGCTCTTCCATGCTATCCCGATAATTGGTCCTAACTTCGCGCTAACTAAAAAGCCAGTGAGGGAGAAGCTATCCGGCCCCTAGACACTGATGGATAACCCCTTGCACTAACTAGGCAACTATCGAAAGTATAATGTCAAATTGGGGTAGTCTATTCGGTGAAAGTGTCAAGTGGTCTATTATTATGTAAATGAGCGTGGTCCAGTGGCGCATCGCGTTAAGGCGCTGCTTGCAAATCCAATGTAGGTTTGACGGTTGTGGGATCGATTCCCAGGACGAGACGTTTAATGATTGTGTATTTTCATTTCTATTTTATTTATTGTTTATCTTCTTTTATTTTTTATTTATTTATTTATTTTTTGCATAATTATTGTCATCTCTTGTGTTTCATTTTCCCGAGAACCGACTTTTTTTTAACGAAGTGGCTATATGATCGGCTCCCGCTCACGCTATAAAAATTTTTCTGTCGTTTCACGGCTCACGGTTAACCCCATTCGGCTTTTTAGTCTGGGGTAGGCTTTTTTGACATTTGTTTGGTTTTTGTCTGGATATGGTTACAGTTTATTCGTTTTAGTCGGAGTAGAGGTAGGTTTTGGCCAGTTTTAGTCTCGAATAAGCTGCCCTTTTGGTCGACACAAAAACAACGTAAATTCCGTTAGAAGCAAGCAAAATAGGGCTCAAAAATTATTTTGTTTGGCTTCCCCTCCCCTCCCTCCACGGGCACTTACGGACTGTAGCTCGTAAGTGACACGAATTATTTTAGTTTTTATTGAAACAAACTATATATGAAGAGATGAAAAATAAATAATAGAAAAGGTTCAAAAGTACGAAGACGAAAGAGTGTATTACGTGACACCCAAAAATGCGTGACTTTAGAAATGGCGGGAAAACTATCTTCTTCTTCTGTGCAAGTCTAGTCTTGCCCACGTGATTAGAGTATATCGAACTTTCAAAATGGCGGCAAAGGTAAGTTTAGCAAGCGAATGTTTTGGACATTTAGAGCAATAATACAACACAGCATAACAGAACATTGTTCAGTTTTATTATAAAAGTTTAATATTTATTTTTTGGCTGGTTGTTTTSCTAAGTTTTACATGTTTATCGGAGATAAAGCGATGTTGATATKAATCGAGCTAGACTTTGACAACTTGTTTTGAGAGGGTCTTGATTTTGAATTCTCTTCAAACGTATATATATTTTCMAATGACATCTATAAGAATTGATATGTCGTGGTATATCGTGTGCAATTTTGAATGAAAATGGTGATAGTTCACTGAAAAATAGAAAAAAAAATGTTATTTTTTGGTTTATTATGCAGGATGCTGTAGCCATCATTCTGGATGTGAGTTTGTCCATGACCCAAGCTCCCCCCGGACACGAGACACCTCTAGAGACATCAACCAAAGCTATCAATATGATTATACAAAGAAAGGTAACACATCAGCTTTTAAGATTTGTTTTGCCTTCAGTGTGACCTGGAAACACAGTGTTTTAACAAGACAAGYAGTCCCTGACTCCTTGTCAAGTAAAATACTTGCAGGGTGTTTACTAGATGAATTATGGCATTTCARAATGACACAAAATGACATGCAAAACCAGTTTTTGAACTGCAATATGGAAAATCTGGCTTTTTTCCATTATTTACTTCTGCAACTAGTCCTATAGAGTAGTCCTACAGTCTATTGAAAAGACTATAAAAAAGATTTTCTTATCTGCACTTTGTAAACCAGTGCTGTATGTMATTGTGTGACTGAAATGGTTGTGCATGCTTGATAAGAAGGTATCAGTGAACTCTCTTCTTGTCAAGCATTAAGTTTTTGTCATTTCAATTCCCAGATGTTTGCCAATGCAAAAGATGAATTTTGTTTAATCCTTTTTGGCACAGATGGTAAGTATAGCTCTACATCTTTTACTAAATGAATAGTAGTCATCAAATTTATTTACGTCAATGCTTTTAACAATTTATTCTACCTGTGGATGGAGTGAGTGCAACAAACTTTGAGCCTATGGTAGTTCACAGGTCTAAGTAATGCCACAGGTCTAAGAATGGTGAGACTGCGTGAAACTAAAGCTGTTAGATTTTCAGACATTTGCAAACAGAGAGTTCTGCATCTTTTCTCATATTTTGTTAATTAAAATTAGACTCAAATCTAAGAATACGGTATTAGTCTTGGCATTGGCATTTTGAAACCAACTGTGTTTAAAATATTTTTAAATTTGTATTAGAATAAATTAAGCTGAGCTTTCACAACAATGATGCAACTTCAGGGCTATAATGAAATTAAGTTTCAGACCTATCAGACTAAATGTGTGAGCTAGCTATAGCTAATGATTATATGAGAAAGTGATGTTTATATCAATACTTTGCTTTCTTGATGTATTTTTATTTGGTATTGCTAGCTTGCACATTTAGTCTAATAGAGGATTTTAACTGTTATAATTTTGYTCATAGACTTAAARATACACTTATTAATGTATTAAATAWCTTAAAARCAGTTGGTCTCAAAATTGTTTTSGAATATTGATTATCATTGGAAGATGTCATGAATTTTAGAATGGTTATTCCAGAGTACAATTCCATATTAGACATGATAATCAATATKTTCATATTAGGGACTGACAATCACCTTCATGACGAATATGGTGGCTATGACAATATCAC